ATTCAAGCGGCCAGTGTAGACAGCTGGCAAGTTTTTCCACAAAAGCAGCTGCTTTTGCGGAAAAACTTCCCAGTCTAGACACAGCCTCTGTATCCGCAACCTTGTTTAGGCTGGGGATTTTAAACCAAAAGGCACTGCCTCTCTGGCCTTTGTTCATGTCCTTTCCAAAGGCCAGAGCCAGCTCCGACAACTGCTTCAGGCAGATACGCCAAAGCCCCTCCTTTGGGCCAGCTCAGGTTGATCCCATCTTGGATTTAACGTCTGTAAGTCGTTCCGCAAACTTCTTTGTGAAGGAAGGGGATTACGGCCTTTTGCTGACAGCAATTTCTCCTGCTCGTTTCAAAGAGGAACCTGCCAGCCTTGGCTATACAATCTCAGTCGTGTTTATTTTCCTGCAAGAGACCAGTATCGCTCTTCTCAAGAACGAACTTCGGGAGCTGGTCTAGCACGTCTTTGGGCAGGTCCTCTTGTTCGTCCCTTGCTCAAATTGCACATTGGATTCCATCGTTTGATCATTGCAGCCCAGAGAGGAGACTAGTGCTGTTGTGAGCCCTCTGGCCATCAGTTAGCGACAGCTCCTTGGCTTTGTTTGGAATATGGTGGCCTCTTCCTGCTGTTTGGCATTATTGTTCCCAAAGATGTCCTGCTGTCTCTGGTAAGCAGAGAATGTTCTTTCAAGGTCATCAAGATGTGGGATTTCACACACTTTGCATCATCAGTGTCAGTCCACATCGCTGAGAATTTCTGCTGGACAGTAGAATGGTCCTACACCCGGGTGAGACAGCCGTGGTGCTGTTGAGGAAAGTGACAGTCTCAGGGAAGGAGACTGTCCAGGTGGTGCAGAAGGATACATTCCTATAGTTGAAACCCTCTTTTCAGACTACTTTTATGGTCTCGTGCACTGACAATACCTCTGCAGGGGAAGGAACGCCTACTATTAGAAAGGGACAGGTAATGGGGGATGCATAAGTACGTAAGAACTGCCATACTGGGTCAGTTTAGCCCTTTATCCTGTCTGCTGACTGTGGCCAATACTAGATGCCCCAGAGGGAGGGAACACAACAGGTAATCCTCATGTGATCCCTCTCCTGTCATCCATTTCCAGATACTCTCTTTAGAAACGTAGATAGATGAGTTTGCAATGATCAGAAGAACCGCCTGGTCACTTACCTGTCCGGTGTGAGGGTTGCAGATCTCTCAAGACATCTAGATAGATACAGCTGGTCTCTGACTTACGACCACCTCCACTTACGACCATCCGCACTTCACGACCAAAGCAGTCGTAAATGCAGTCCCCGAGTTACGAACGCGATCCGCGCTTAAGAACAGCGTAGTCGCCATGTAACCCAATGGGATCCGAGTTACGAACACTTCGAGTTACGGCCAAGTGTTTGGTCCGTAACTCGTTTGTAACTCGGGGACCGGCTGTATATATGTAGTGCTGGGGAGGAGCCCCAGCTGGGGTATGTGTAAAGGTACCAATGATATAAGGAGGGATAGAAGAGACCAAAGTTAGTCTGCTACGTAAGAGCTTGTAGTCCAGGACCACCATGGTAATGTTCTCTGAAATGCTTCTAGTTCCCCACTGTTAGTCGTTAATTTGGAATAAATATATAATTGTGTTGCATGTTTATGACTCTACGTTAACAATTTCAATGTTAAAATCGTGATTTTGTGTAAAACAAAATGGAGTTAGTCCCTTTTGAACCCTGGGCTCCATCTTGGGCGTTGCCCTCTCCCTCTGGAACATTCTAGGACCGTTGGGGATCTGGTTCGAACCAGATTTTCCCGCCTTGGTGACAATTCCGCTCCCCTCAGCTTTCCCGCCAAGAGGGCTATATAAGACTGTGAGTGACGCTAGTCACTACTGTCCAGCCCAGAGGCAGCAAGAGTGTGGGTCTTCTCTGAGACTCATCCCGCACATCAGCGCCTGTGAGGAGAAAAAGGAAGAGACGTCCCACCCTTTATCCACCACCAAACACCATCCACTCACCTGCATCCCTGAATCACCTGGGCTATGTCTAGACTGGCATGATTTTCCAGAAATGCTTTTAACAGAAAAGTTTTCTGTTAAAAGCATTTTCAGAACAGAGTGTCTAGATTGGCAGAGACGCTTTTCCGCAAAAGCAATTTTTGCAGAAAAGTGTCCGTGGCCAACCTAGACGCACTTTTCCGCAAAAAAAGCCCCAATCGCCATTTTCGCGATCGGGGCTTTTTTGGCGGAAAACAAATCTCAACAGTCTACACTGGCCCTTTTACGCAAAAATTTTGCACAAAAGGGACTTTGCCCGAATGGGAGCAGCATATTATTTCTGCAAAAAGCACTGATTTCTTACAGTAGGAAGTCAGTGCTTTTGCGGAAATTCAAGCGGCCAGTGTAGACAGCTGGCAAGTTTTTCTGGAAAAGCGGCTGATTTTCTGGAAAAACTGGCCAGTCTAGACACAGCCCTGCCATTCTGTGCTCTCCCTGAATAACATGGCGGGACTCCTCACTGTCCTTCCCACAAGGGTCCTGTGCATCTTTCAAATGGCAGTCACCATTGGTCACTTTGTATAGTGATCTCCTCGCCTTGACTTCTCTGACAGAGATAGAGTTTACCAAGCTGGGTCTGGGCTTCAAGCCCACTAAATAGGTTACTGTATCACGTGGATCACTATTTTCTTTGTTGCTTTCCTTGCCTGCATGTTACCTCTCTGCTCCAAGTTCCCTGATTTTCTATTGTTCCCTACTACATTTTATCTTGGTTTACTTTATGCACAGCCTCCTCTTTATTTAGGGAATGGAAGTGGGTTATAAAACACTGGGTAACCCACAGGTGAGAGACCCTGGATCCGAGGAACGGGGCTGTAACTTTCTGCACAGAAAAATCTGTCAGACGTCTCACATCCACACACCTTATTAATCTTTAAAAACATTTCTCGGTGCTAACAACGCGCATGGGAGGTAGTTAGGCAGAACTAGAGGGTTTCAATGTGCAAATCACTACGTTAGGCACACCTCCAGACTTCTCGGTGAAGACCGAAACAAAGAAGGCAAGGAAGGGGGAGGAGGGCTCCCAAATCAAAACGGAACCAGATTCCTGGAACTTAAAACGTCAACGGTCATAGAGCAGTTTTCAAACTAAGGGTTGCGGGAATGCCAGCGTGGCTTGGACAGTTTCATGTCTTAGGGATTAATAGAGATTCTCTATGTGCTAGTAAGGACGCGAGGATAATAGGTGATAAAATATGGATGAGCTCTGGTGTGATACAGGCAGATGAAAAAGAGTCCCATTCAGTTCTATCTTGGCACACAGCTAAAAGGTGACAAGTTTAAAAAGTGCTTAGTCTAAGTAATAAGATGGGTGTTTCTCAACCTTTTTTCATAAAGTACCCTTTTTTTTACAAAAATTATAAGCACCTATAGAAGTATATCCCAGTACCTACAGTTTTTAGACACACACCATTTTTTTTTACCATTGCAACACATTTGTTTAAACAACTTAACGGTAGCCGTGCAGGCGATGAAATTTTTGGGTGTAAAAAGTACGAAAATAATAAAGTGCTGTAAAACCTAAACAACCAAATTTCACAGCCAAATTTCAGTTGTGTTGACATACTTTCCAGACTTCTCTTGAGTACACCTAAGGGTACTGGTACCACTGGTTGAGAAACACTGCACTAAAGCATGTATTACAGAATGAGGATATTGATCTAATAGGCATTACAGAGACTTGGTGGCATGAGGATAATCAGAGGGACTCAGTAATACCAGGGTACAAATTGGAAGTATTCAAATACATATTGGAAGGACAAAACAGGCCATGCTGGTGGGGGCGAGGCAGGATATGTGAAAGAAAACCTAGGATCAAATGAAAGTCTGAGGCAAAAGAATCAGGTGCCAAGAGTTTTTATAGACATTTCTGCAGCCTCTCCACACCAGGCAGCCTTTGGGTGAACAAGAGGTGTTCGAATCTCCTTGTTAGTCCGTAACTAAAAAAACTTACAAAACAACAATGGTTCTGTAGCACTTTTGAGCCTAACAAAATATATACTGTAAATAGTATCGTGAACTTTCAGAAGTGGGTTTTGCTCATGAAAGCTCATGATACTGTTTTTATAGTGATAGAAATGTAGCCGTGTTAGTCTGGTGTAGCTGAAACAAAATACAGGACTATGTAGCACTTTAAAGACTAACAAGATGGTTTATTAGAT